GACCATGCCAAGGGATATTGTTGCTAATGTCAAATGAATCTTGGCTAAAAGCAAAGAATACCAGAAAGATGTTTACTTGTTGCATTTGATTATGTGAATCATAACAAATTATAGATATCATTGAAAACAAGGAGATTACTAGAACATTTAATTATGCTCATATGAAACCTATATATTGACCAGAAAAGAATACTGCATGAATTTAAATTAGGAAAGGTATGTGCCAGGGCTATACTCTTTCTCCCTATTTATTCAGTTTGTATGTTGAGCAAATAGTTTGAGAAGATGGATATATGAAGAAGGATGCAATATTAGAATTGAAGGGAGACTCATCAATAATATGTGTTATGTGGAAAACACAATTTTGCTTACAGAAGTGAAGACTTGAAGCACTTACTGAAGAAGATACAGGACTACAGTCTTTAATATCAATCACATCTCAACATCAAGAAAACAAAAATCCTCACTTTTCTACCAATAGGTAACATTGTGATGTTGTTGTTGTTGATTGTTGTCCAGTCAAGCACGACTCATAGTAATCCTATGAACAAAGGTCCTTAAGCCTTTCTATAACTATCATCACTTATCAAAGTTCCTAGTGTTTCCAGAGGCATGTTGTTTAGGAAGTGGATGCCACTCCTGCTTCCAAACCTGTTTTAAACTGGGAGCTCCACCAAACATTGTTCACTAAGCATAATCATTATGGCACTTGACATCCCAATGGCACAAAGTTCAGCAACACAGCAACCCCAGGTTACCTCAGTACAGCATATTGACAAAAGAGTGCTGTACCATTTAGAAGAATGTTCCTCCAAAATATAGTAACAAATGACTTTTAAATACAAAGGCCTTCCCCAAGGTCTTGTTGGCTCTAAACAAGAGGCTTAAATATAAAACAACCAATATGGTATATTTTTGTTGTTATGTGCCATTGAGTTGCCTGTGACATATAGTGACTCTAAGTACAGCAGCTCTGAACCCTTTCCTGTCCTGAGCCAGTCTCACTAATTCTGACACACCAACCCTTATTGCCCCAGTTACTCTAGCAATCCATCTTATCTGGAGTCTTCCTCTCCTACGCTTTCCCTCCACCTTTCTGAGCTGGCCACGGGACCTAAGTATGTGAGACGGAGCTTCAAAATCCTAATATCTAAGGAAAGACTTGGTTTCACTCTCTCCAAGACAGACCAATTTGTTTTCTTGATAGTCCATGGTATGTTCAAGACTGGAAGTTGTCTATGATTTCATTTTACATAGATCCACAATCAACATCCTTGGTAAGAGCAGTCAATAAATCAAGTCATGAGGCATTGGGAAAATCTGCTATCAAGGACCTCTTTAAGATGCTAAAGAGCAAGGATATCAGTTTAAAGACTGAGGTGCACTTGATGTAAGCCATGGTATTTCCAATTGCTTCTTATGCTTCTGAAAGTTGGATAATGAATTTGGATGACCGAAAGATAATGGATGACTTTTAAGGATAGTGTTGGCAAAAAAGTGTTTAAGAAACAAGCTTGACTTGGAGGAAGTGAAACCAGAATGCTCCTTGAAGATGGAGATGGTAATAAAACTTTGTTTCACATACTACAAGCATGTATGTTATCAGGAGGTACCAGTCCTTGAAATAAGAGAGATATCTTTCAAGAAAAGGTCATGGATCAGAGAAAAAGGAGAACTCTCAAAGGGATGTACTGATTTAGAAATTATGTTAATAAGCTCAATGAAGCAGGATGTAGGTGAGTATGATGCAGGGTAGGACAATGTTGACATCTTTGGTTCAGAGGGTTGCTATCATTTCTACTTGACTCAAGGACATTTAACAACAACAACAACTATATATTTATGTATGGACTGCTGGTGATGCAGTGGTTAAAGTGGCAACTACTAACCAAAGGTAGTTTTGCTCTGATGAAGAAAGTTAGCACAGTTTCCTTTTGTAAAGATTTACTGTCTTGGAAAGCCAATAGAGTCAAATACGTGTGGGGGTTGATTCAGTGATGATTCTGGTATGTACATTTGGGATCATTATATGAAATGTTTTAGAAAAAAAAAATCTCCCAACTATGTCAGACCAAAAAAGGCAACATTTGTCCCAAAACAAAGTTCAGAACACAGAAAGGATCAGGAGAGAAGGACAAATGGATAGAGATATGGGGAACTGAAGCAAGAAGTGGGTAAATTACTGTTTCCTTGAGGGAATTGTGTTCAATTAGATGAAATAAAATGTGTCTAAATTCCTAAATAGAAAACTAATTTGTTCTATAAGCTTTCACCCCAATCACAATAATAAATACGAGGAGGGAGAAAAAAGAAAAAGGGGGAAAAAAGAACATTTTAGAACTAGACTGCCAAAGTTCAAACTGCAGGCCCTCCTCCTCCCCCTTCTCTGTCTAATCCTGGCAAATTATTTGACTATGCAGGGTCTCATTTTCTTAATCTGTAATATAAATTGGAGCTGATAGATATGTATTTAATGAGATTGTTGGCAGACTTAAATGATATCAACTATGGAAGATGTTTAGGGCTATCCCACCTATTATTATTCTCACTGTTCATAATCCAGACCATGTCATCACTGTGTCTTTCACTACGTTCAAAAGCAGCCCCACCTCCTCTTTCATGTGAATGGCCTGCTCAAGTGATCATTTCACTTCCACTGTGGCAAATCAACCACATAGGGGCACAGATAAAGACCAGTGCTCCAGACTAGGAGAGCAATTGGGCAACCCAGGGTTGGATTTAGACTGCCCCCACTGTGCTGTCTCTGCAGCTTTCTCTTCGAGGCTTAGTTAAGTCACTGAAATTGTATCCCCATGGATCGTTCTGAAGTGTCAAAATGTAAGCCTGACAGCTAGAGTCCGTTTTGCCTTGTGGCTGTCTATGGCAATGCAGTCTCGGTGCTTCCTTCCCTTTCATCTTTGAGGGGAGGAAGAATCTGCTCAGGATAAAGCTTGCTGTCCAATATGATGAAGTACTTCATATGATGCATCATTTGTAAATACAGTGATAACATAAAAGAGTTCATTAGCTGAAGGGGTTTTTACCCAAGCCCTTCAGTTCTTAAGGACCTTTGGCAAGGCTGTACTGACAAAGAGAAATCTAAAATTCTTGAAGACTCTTGTTCTCGAGGATTTGCTACTTATTCTGCAACTCTCTCCTTTCTCCCAAGTCACATTATTTCCTGTAGCATTAACCAGAGCCTTTAAAAATTAATAATGGAGCTATATTATGTGGTATCAATCTTTCAATTGACCATAAGCTCCTCAAGGGTAGGTGCCCTGTTTTATTCATCTTTGCATCCCCGCAAGCACCTGGCATACATCTCAATCAACATCTGTGGAATTGAATCTAGTTGAATTTATATCCTCGGCCACCGAGCCAGAGCTCAGAACAGGACTGAAGCTGAAGGCAAGTGAATCATTTATTTCCACTGCTGAGCTGAATTCTGGTTTCCTAAGAAATTAAAATAATCTTGTCACCCAGAAGGAGCTCTGGTGGCATAGTTGGGAGGGAGTTGTGCTGCTAATCTGAAGTCCAGTCCTTTCTGTTCACTCGAATCCACCAGCAACAAAGCAAGAGAAAGATGGGAAATCTCTGGTTATTTACAGCCTCAGAAACCCACTGGAGAGTCAGCTATGAATCTATTTTTTAGTGTTTTGTTTAATCACTCGGGTCTGCCTTGTAAAGTCTAAGGGATGAGGCCTTAAAATGGTTCCATTGGATGAAAGATCTTTCTCCAACTTTTTAAATATTAGGGAAACGAATCACCTTTTTTTTTGGAGCTTGCTAGTTTATAATTCCAGCCCAAAAGAAAGTAAACAGGAAAGGTCGACTGTTCTGAGCCTTCACTGAGCTGAGGGGGAGTGACAGCCAGGGGTCCTTACTAATTTAACTTTTTGTGTGTGTGCCGAGTGTTTGGGACTCTGCCTGGGCGCATTCCTTTTTCCTACTAAATACAAGAACTTCATCTGTTATTTTCATCTCCAACATATCTCTAACTTTTAAGGTCATAAATAGACAAAAAAAAAAAAAAAAAAAAAGACAGAAAAACAGTTTTGGAAACTCCCAAGGTTGTCTAAGCCAGTGATACTGCTGAAGCTTTTGATTCTTTTGCTCTAATTCTACCTATAATCAACCAAAATAGTTATTCATTTTTCCTTTTTCACTTGAGGCTGACGTCCTGGGAGTTTCTATAGAAAACCAGGGGTTTGGAACTCAGCTAGGTTAGAATCCTTAAGATCACGAAGCTTTCCCCTTCCCGTTTTCCTGGTTCAGCACGCTGGTGCGTCCTATTGTGTCTCTTTCCCCCTAAAGCCATGTAACTTCTGGTCCGTTTCCTCCATTTCACTTTTTCAAGATAAAGTCCAGTTCATCTCCAAGGTCCCACACCCCCTCCGTCACCTCTTTCCAAGGTCCCAAGATCCTCCAGCTACTCCCCAGCTAAACTAGAGCGCCAGCTGTGGGCTCAGGCTCCAGAGTCCACTTTCACAGTCGAGCTTCACGTCTTGCTCCAGGACCCCAGGCCCTGCGCTCTGGAAGGACTCGGGGGTCTGCGCCTCGGCCCCGCCCCCCTACCTGACGCCCACGCGGCTGGGGGCGTTGCAGCCTCCGCCCACCGGCGCGCCTGCCCTGCCATTGGTTCCCCGCGCTGCTCGTCTTTTCCGCCGGCCCCGCTCTGTCCCGGAGGCAGGTTTCGCCGGAGAAGCCGCAGTCCCCGCGGCTGGGGTGCAGCGCGGTTCGTCTGCGGAGCGCGCAGGACACGGACCCAAGTCAGCATGTCCCCGCGCGCGGGAGCCCTCGTCGGTCGCCGGGCTCCGGCGGCTGCTAACTTGGCGGCGCGCTCCTGCGGCCCCGCCGAGGCCATGTAGCCGCCGGCGGGGCTCCCCGCAGCCCGGGAGCGATAGTGAGCCGGAGCCGTGCAGCTTGCGGTTCTCGGTGGAGACTCTGAGTGCACGCTGCGACCCCAGCCCCTGGGGCTGCACTTTGGGTCGGAGAAGGAAATGGGGGAGAAAGTTTCGGAGGCGCCGGAGCCGGTGCCCCGCAGCTGTAGCAGCTACGGCGCCCGGACTCCCGCCCCTGCGGCGCCTGCTGTGCCCTCGCCGGGCGCTTCCTCGGCGGAGTCCTCCTCTGGCTCAGAAACTCTGTCGGAGGAAGGGGAGCCTGGCCGCTTTTCCCGCGAGCAGCTTCGGCCGCCGGGCGGCGCCCTGGGTGCCCAGCCGTCCGCCGTGTGGGCTTCCTCGCGCGGGGACCCAGAGCGCGGAGCTGCTTTACCGCCGCCGCTGCCCCTCGGAGGAGCCGCGCCGCCCGCAGTTCGGGGCAGCGGCGCATCCCAGGAGGAGCAGGACGAGGAGGTGGGCCTTCTTTCCTAACTTTGCCCCCTCAGGGTCCCGGCTGCTGGTGGCCCACACCTCTCCACCCTGCGCGCGGGCGGGGACGAGGGGCGCGTCTTAGCCTGGAGGCAGCGGGGGACCGACCACTCCAGACATACTGCTCCAGTCTCCGCGTTGGCCACTGACCCCGTGGCTCTTACCTCCAAGTGCGTCTGTCTACATGTGCTGCCCAATTGTCCACTCTTTCAAATGTCATAATAGCAAAACAACTCATGTCTCTATCAGTCTCTGTCAGTTTCTTAATGAATGTTAGGTGGACGTCTTGTCTTGCATGTCCCCCACATCTAACATCTTATTCTCCGAAGAGAGAATAAGATGTTAGCCCTTGGGCGGCGTGTGTTGGGGATAGGATGGGGCCGGGGCAGGGCTTGGGGGCGAGTGTGCTCGCTTTCTGGTGGTTTTGGTGAGCTGAGGTGGCGTCCGTATCTAACCCATCACTGGAGCACTCCTGGCTTTCAGCGGGTGATGCAGGCGCGCGTCTGCAGCTCCTATTCATATTCTCCCCCATCCCCCAGCCTGGGTGTCTGGATGTGCGCTGGTCGCCAAACCAAACAGGGCATGCCCCACTGTGTCAATCCTGGTTTACTGGAGTTAACTGTACCTCTGTTAACCTTGGGTCGCGTTTGGAGTCACTGGGCATACAGTTTTGATATCCTATCCTCCTGGCTGCTTTTGGTGGCTTTACCTCCTGTCTTTGGAGGACAGGACAGAAGCTTAAAGTCTTTCATGTCTTTCAGATTGTTGGCTTTGGACTCTTCTTGTAAAGAAAGTCATCTTGATCAGGCTGGGACATAAATAAAACATCACCCGAGGATAGCCTAGTTGTGAAATTAATTCCTCAGATCCAAAATGAGATTTTCCTCTTCTCTGATGGGGTTAGCTTTAGTAAGTAATTTGGCATTGCCCCTCAGAAGAAGCAAGCTGAAACCGGTGCCTGGCAGTCGCCCCTTGGGACCCCACCCTGGAGATGAAGACTGGATCTGGCACAGGTCAGAGGAGGCAAGTTCTAGCCTGGCAGCGTTGGAACAGAACTTAGCTGGTCATAACCAATCCCTTGGCAGTAACCATAACCCATTGCCTAATACTGGTGAGAAGGCAGGATGCTTGACAGTTGTTTGCAGACCTGCTTTGTAAAACTGCCTCTGCTCTTGAGTAATGAGACCTGGATGACTATGAGACTAGTTGTTTCTCTGAGGTTCAGTTGATAGAGTCTGTAAAGAAGGAGTTTGAACTGGTTTACCATGGGCTTAAGTTTCTGTCTTCTGTAGCAGTCCAAGCCCTATTTCCGATCAGCAATATAGCTCGCAGAGATGGCTAATCGCTGTACTACCAGTGTTCCTGGCTGGTTATATCTCCCTTTGAAGGTGCCAGGCATGTGTGTGAGAATTGTAACTTTCAGAGTTAAACGCCCTTGTCACGGGAAACTCGAGCTTTCCTCTAACTTAATGATGAATCCCTTGCCCTGTGTGTTCTATCACACTAGGAGGATGCTTGTAGTTAAGGGTTGTGTTTTGTAGATTCTAGGTGGGAGAATGGGATTTATTTCACTTTTGATTCTAGGTCTGTGGCAGATTTATTGCCTGATCTCAGAACAACAGTGTTTTTACTTTCTCTGAAGCAGAGTAAATAGTAATAGTGTTTTTCACAGAGAGTGTGATAAGGATTGGCTTATTTTGGAGTGTGGAATAAATAAATAACATTGATCAATATTTGTGAAAACTCAGAATTGGATGTATACCAATACAGTGTTATAACTTACTGTGCAGCTCAAACTGTGGCAGTAAGTGCTAGAGATTGACCAGGAGTGGAAATCTTGGTTTACTTTGAGGGTTTTTAGGCAAAACTAAAAATATGGAAATTTTTTTTCTCCCACAGAAGGAGAGAGGTGGTAGTGTTGGTGAAAATATTTGAAATCAGGGCCCACTTTCTTTTCTGACACCAGCAGTGGTTCTTAACCTTTTGGGGGAAATAAACACTTCTGTGAGGGGGACCTGGTGGCACAATAGAATAAGCATTGAATGGAAACTAAAGATTGGCAGTTTGACTCAGGAGTGCTCTGGGAGAAAGAGGAAGCAGTATGTTTATTTAAAGATTTACAGCCTTGAAAAAAAAAATCTCATGAAACAATCCTGTTCTTGTCCTGTAAGGTCACTGTGAGGCTAAATGGACTAGTTGACAATAGATTGGGCCTCTTTGATGAAATGATGAAAGCTATAAATCCTTATCTTAGAAAAGACCAGCATTATAAATACTATTCCAGAAGGTTCAGGAATACCATTCGGGAACACTTAGGTTAGTGGAAAGACCTGGGTTTGTTTCATAGTTTTGCTATCAAAACAGAGCGTGGGTTTGTGGATCATTTGACTTCTATAAACCATCATTTTCTTACCTCTGATTATTGGCTATGCATCAGAGACCTGGACAATGAATGAATAAGGATGACAGAAAAAGAACTGATAGCTTTTTTTTTAAAATTTTTTTATTATTATTTGTGTGTGTGTGTCTGTGTAAGAACTGATACCTTTGAGCTATGGTGTTGGAGAAGAGCAATGAACATGGATAGCCAAAAGAATGAACAGATATGTCTTGGAGAGGGTGCAGCCTGAGTGCTCTTTGGAAGCAAGAATGATGAGGCTTTGCTTCACATACTTTGGACATGTTGCTAGGAGGTTCTATTCCTTGGAAAGGGACATGATATTGGGAGACGGTGACTGTTGCAGTGGTCTCTTGAGAGTCAGAAAGTGTGGGGATGGTGCAGGACAGAACAGGGTTTAGGTCTTTTGTTCATAGGATCTCTATAAGTCATGCTCAACTCAACAGCACCAGAATGTGTGAATAATAAAATAGAGTTGTTAGGAATTATGCTACTTCATTTAACCCCAACACTTAGTTGTGTATCAAGTTGGAGCTGACTCAAAGCTGACCCTCCAGCGAGTTTTCACAGGCAGTAAATTGCTCAGCAGGAGATTACCTTTCTTTCTCTCAGTGGATACAAACCACCTGCCTTGGCTTGGCAGTGCACTTATTTTTAATCATAAACCCACCAGAGTCCCCTCCTTACACATAGATGTTTGTTAAAAAAGTCAAAGCCAATGCTTTGGAGTCAGAATCCTGTAGTGGATTTTCTGGGGAAGTAAATTGCATGGGAGGAGACTGCTCATCTTTCTCCCTTGGAGTTGGTGGTGCATTTTATCCACCAGAAAGGGACTACCTCTGAGTTAGCAGTGCACCTCCCTACAGGCGGTGCCACCAGGGAACCCTATAGAGTATTGATAGCTAAGTAAAGATAAAGTTGTGATAACAATTTTGTGAAATGCCTGTTTGAGCTTGGTTTGTCCTGTAACTTTATCTGTACATAATTAATTTGCTATCTTTTGCTGCCCATTTTTAGGGAACTTGAAGCTGTGCATGGTTAGTTTATTCCCAGTTTTCAGATTATCCGGGAGGCTGGGCTCTATGAGGAGAAATGTGGGGTCAAGATTGGTGGACGATTTATCAACCATCTGTGTTATGCAGATGACACAACCCTGCTTGCTGAAACTGAGGAGGACCTGAAGCACCTGCTGCAGAGCGTCAAGGACTGCAGCCTCCAATATAGATTGAGGCTCAATGTCAAGAAGAAAAGATTCTCACCACTGGACCAATTGGCAGCATCAGGATGGATGGTGAAGAGATTGAGATTGTACACAGCTTTAGTCTGCTTGGCTCCACAGTCAACACTCTTGGCACCAGTAGACAGGAAATTAAAAGGCGCATTGCCATGGTAAAGTCTGCTGTTAGGGACCTCTCCAAAGTACTGAAGAACAATGGTGTCTCTCTGGAGACTAAGGTGCATCTGATACAGGTCATGGTCTTCACAATCACTTGTTATGCATCGGAGAGTTAGACAGTGACCAAGGAGGATAGAAGGAGAATTGATGCCTTTGAGCTGTGGTGCTGGAGAAGAGTGCTGAGAATACCATGGACTGCTAGGAAAACAAACAGATTCGTCCTGGAAAGGGTTAAACCGGGTGGCTCCTTGGAGGCGAGGATTCTGAGGCTCCCTCTAACATACTTTGGACATGTTGTGAGGAGGGACCGGTCCTTGGAGAAGGACATCTTGCTTGGGAGGGTGGAGGGACGGCGCAGGAGGGGAAGGCCTTCTATGAGGTGGATTGATTCAGTGACTGGGGTAATTGGGATGGGAGTGTCAGAGACAGTGTGATTGGCACAGGACAGAGCAGAGTTTAGGGCTGTTGTACATAGGGTCGTTATGAGTCGCAAGCGACTCGACGGCACATAACAACGACAACAACAACAATAACAACAAATGTTGTTGTACACCATAGAGTGGGAACCGACCCATAGCTGACCCTCCGGCAGGTTTTCAGAGGCAGTTAATCACATGGGAGGAGATTGTCCATCCTCCTCTTGCAGAGCAGCTGGTAACTTCAAACCCTGTGCCTTCAGGATTGCAGCGCAACTTCTTGCCACTATAGGAGACATTGGTAATGTATAATTGGTTATCCTAAAGCATGACACTGGATGTGAAATGGTTTAATACAACCATAAAATGGACCCTAGACTCACTTAGCTTTTAAATTGTTAAGTCTGTCTTAAGGCTCTCTGATGGAGTTGCACAACTCAAAGGTTGTGCTTCTCCATTGGTTTGAATCTAATAGCTGTACCACAGAAGAAAGATGGTCAATCTCCTCCAGTTAACAATTTGCAGCTTCAGAAAACTGATGAGGAGTCAGTGAGTTGAAACGCCTTGATGACAATGAGCTAGTTTTCGTTTAGGGTATGTCTTGGGAGTTTTTTTCCCAGAGTTCTTTACAGTAACTTATTGTATCAGGTTTGAAAAATAACCAACTTCAAGTAATAAGATGTTATTGCAGTGCTAACTGTTGGGGTTTTTGTGTGGTGTTGTTTTGGTTTTTTTGGTTTTTTGTTTTTTTTTTTTTTACAGAGGGTGAAATCTT